CCCCCTCCCATCCCTATCTCCCCCACCACCCTAAGGCCTGGGTTTACATAACTGGCTTCTCTGCCCCCAGCTGTCCTTCCACTTGACTCTTAAGTCACAGGGAGCTGAGTGGTCGAGGGATTCACCCCGACTGACCCACCTGTGCCTCTCATGTCAAAGAATGAGAAACAGCAGCCCAGAGAGCAAAGTGATGGGGCCAAGGAAACGCAGCTGGTGCCCGGGTTGGGAGATGCTAATCTGTATGCTGATGGCTTTGTTGCAACAACAACACAATGCTTTATTTATAACCCCGATGGCTATCTCCGGGAGGGTGGGGGCCCGGCTGATTCACCTAAGCTGTGTTTTGGGTTTGGGTAGACACATTTGAGGGCAGAGCGGAATGACTTTGCAAAAAGGAGCAGGAGGAATCTGGGAGGAGGAGGAGGACGACCCAGGTGGCTAGACAGGGGGCTGGGATGAGAAAGAAACCCCTGGTGGCTGTCCGGCAGGCCGAGGAGGGCTTTCCGGAGCAGACCGTCTGGTGGCTTTTTAACATTGTTTGCTGTGGGTTGCGCAATGCAAACCCCCTCCCGAAACTGTCTGGAGGTTCTCCGCTGCTCATTGTAATGTCACGTGAGTAGATTTGGGGACATTTAAAGAGCTGCTGAGAGCTGGGCCCATGCTGACATGGTGGGAAGCAGACAGCTGCTGCCAGTGCCTGGCTGGGAGGAGGGAACTGGCTGACAGCTGGGTTCTCCATGGATGTGCACAGGGGGCCCCGCGTTATAGGGGCCCCACTTAGAGCAGATCACGCCTGGGGTTGCACATGGAGGTGACATTCACTGACCTCTTAGCGTTTGGCTGTCCTTCCTAGCTTCTAGGCGGTCTGAGTGGAGCCTCCTCCCTCCGACCATCCTAACGGGTAGTTCTGCTTCCAACCACAGGCGGCTTTCACGTTCTCTCGGCCAGATGCTCCCCATACATGCGCAGGCCGTCACTGGGGGACTGGGACCGGCAGGCTTCAACGCTGGGAAGCGGGATGTCCTCCAAGACCGTCATGGTTTTTCAAATCCCATATGGACGGTGTCTCTGTCCTTTTCCAAACTTGCTGTGGTTTCCTGTCGCCTATGGAGTCAAGTCTCAGTCTTGATCCCGTCATTCAAAGTTGAGTACGTTCTGGCCTTCACCTACATTCATTCATTCACTCACTCACTCCCCAATACCGATGTGGCTTATTTAAAAAATTAAGGCATCCCTTCATTTACCTCCTACTTAAAAAAAAAAAAAAATCCCTTTCTACCTTTCCCTGAGTTGTCCATGAGAAATCTGATCTTTCTACTGCGATCTGTGCTACGCTGGGCTTCTCAAATTCTCCCTCCATCTGCTCCGCCTGGTTGACTCTGTTTCTGTTTAGCTTTCAGGTTGCAAGGAACAGCATTCAAACAATCACCAGGAAAAGAAGGTTAAGGAGTGGCTGTAAGGCTGCACATAGATTTGGACCGGAGCTGGCAAGACATCAAGTTCCAGCGTGGGCTCAGGGACTGGCTGCTCCACCCCTCGTTTCAGCCGCATGGTCTCGCTTTTTCTTACCCCTCTGTCACTTATACTGAGTGTGGGCTCCTCTGCTGACATGCTTTCTGTGTCCTTGTGACTTGGGCTCGCAAAGGCTTTGGCTTGTCCTAGATCTCCAGCCCCACCTTTGCCTCAAGGCACGTCTTTCAGCACCTGCCTGTGCTCCCAGAGCTACCATTTTGGCTTCCCAATTTGAGATTCCAGGAGGGAATCTGATTGCCAAGGCTCATCTTTTCACGCAGGTCCAAGTCCTAGATCTCAGACTGCCCAGGAGGATGCCCTTGGACCAGGTTTCTCTGGCCAATCAACCTTGGCTGGTGGACAAGGGTCCAGTTCCATCAGTGGGGACTGGAGTTGGGGTGTTCCCATAGGGCAGCTCTCTGCTGCAATGCCCTGAAAGCCCAGTTCAGGTCATACCTCCTCTGTATCTCTCTTCTTAATTGCTTCCTCATGTATTAGGTACTTACAATATTGCATTCTGAGTTACTCCTGTCTGTGACTTTGTCTGTTGTCACGCAGATGATAAAGAGCTTAAGTCCTGAGACTCTTAAAACAGAGGCCAAGAACTTTTGTCAAGGTCAGATGACCACTCAACCTGAATTCTTAGTGGCTTTTTGATTTCAAATATTCTCTACTGCGGTCCCTGGAAATTACAGAAACATTCGAAAAATTCCAACCTTTTAGAAGAGATATCTGTTTCCCAGAATCCCTTATATCTGGAGGGGACACAAAAAACTCCATGTTCCAATTTTTGAGGTTGGAAATGTGGCTGCCGAGTTCATGAGGAACAGAGACCTTCTCTGAAGGTGGTGATGGAGGGCAGCTGACATTGGAGAGCGACGACAGAAAGAGAATGAGTTGGACTTGGTGACTCATTGGCTAAGGAAGAGCGTGCAATCGATTAACGGAGTTACCCATGGTTTTGGCTTGAGTGATTGAGTGGAAAATGGGATGGAAATTGTAAATTGAAAAAATGAGAAGAAGGTTAAAGGACCCATATTTTACAGATCTTCAACACGAAGTCACTAAGTGTTTACTGAGCCCCTACTCTATGCCAGACACTGGGCTAGGACTGGTGATACCGAAGTGAATAAAAGACAATTCCTGCCATAAAGGTGTTCTATCTAGGGAGGAGATCACTATGTAAATAAATTATAATACAGTGTGATAAGTACCACAATGAAAAGAGACCTGTGCAAGATAGAAGGGAACTAATCCAGACTTCTTGGAGGTCATAAGAATTTTACAGAGAAAAAGACCCTTGAGGAGGGTCATGAATAATGACCAGGTGATCAGGGAGGGCATTCTTACTGTCAAAAACAGCCTTTGAAATGTCTTAGATACATTCAGGAGAGTGACAGGAAATGAAGCAAAGGTCAACTCCCAAATAAGACCATGAGGCAGGCTAAGGAGTCTGGATTTATTTTACAGAGAAGAGGGAGTAACGACTGGTAGTAAGGAAAGCAGACTTGAGGTTAGGAAATGGTCACTCAGGCAGCAGCATGAGGCATGAATTAGATGGGGATGAGACAGGAGGCCAGGAGAGTGGCTAGGGGTTTACTGCAAGAGTTCGCAGGAGAAATGAGGAAATGTGATCTGAGGGTGTTGCAGTAGTGATGGAGAGAAATGAAAAAATAGAATGCATAGGACTTGGTGACTCACTGGATGGAGTAGACGGGGAAGGAGGAGGAGTGTTGGGTAATTGGGCTGATGGTGATAACAATAACCAGGCCCCAAAACACGGAAGTTGGTTTTGGACTGATCTCCACTAGACTGTTGTTTCCTTGAGGACAGGGACGATGTCTTGTTCACGGCACATTACCTGTGACTAGTACACTATGCCGAGTGCCTAGTGATGACACAGTTTTGAGCATGTGGGTTTAAAACATCTGAAGTCCTTCGGTAGAAACATCCAGGACTTAGCTTTGACGTTCAAGAGTGATATCTGAGCTGGAGAGGCACATCTGGGAGCCATCATATGTAATTGTGGACGAGCATACCCAGGGAAACCACAGAGTGAGGCCAAAGAGGCCTGGGGATAGGATGCTGGGTCACAGCAATACTTAAGGGAAGAGAGAAGAAGAGGAGCCACTTGCAGAACTAGAAACAGGGTATCATGGAGGCCAAGGTGGAGAGAATATCTAGAACTTGGAAGATATTGGTTCCTGCGAACCAATGGGTCAACAGCCACCAAGAGGTGGTAGCTCCCAGGAAGTGTCTCTCCAGTCACTCCAGTAAACTGGGTTGGCTCTGGCCTCAGAATCATTGGCTGCCTTCCTGTCCAACCCAGTCCTTCCAGGTACAGTCCCAGGCTTCTAGCCTCAGTTTCCTTATCCAAGGGGCCACAGCAGCGAGGGACTGAACCTGTCCTGCTTTCCACCGGTTGTGAGGGTTGAGTGAGATAATAATATGTCAGCAGTTCTCAAAACTTTTGGTTTCAGGACCCCTTTATACTCTTAAATTTTATCTAGATCCTAAATAAGCTTTTGTTTAAATGTGCAATATTTATCAACATTTACCATATTATAAATTAAAACTGAGAAGTTAAAAAAATATTTAACTCGTTTAAAATGAACAATAGGAAACCATTATATGTTAGTACAAACAATCTATTTTTTGAAATATCACAATGTTCTCAAAAACGACTTAGAGAGAAGAGTGGCCTTGTTTTACAGTTTTGCAAATCTCTCTAACGCCCGGCGTAATAGAGACAGTAAATCCTCATCTCGGCTTCTGCATCCAACCTGTACTTGCCTGGGAAAATGAGAGCTAAAAAGGGCAAATAACATCTTGGTATTGTTATGAAAATAGTTCTGTCCTTGAGGACCCCCTGAAAGGGTCTCGGGAACACTTACGGCTCCCCAGAACACACTTTGAGAATCACTGATATATTTGAATTCACTTTGGAAGCTGAGAAGTTCATACAAAGTTGCTATGATCACTCTGAAAATCTATACCCTGGGAATCAAAAAGGGACCCCTCTCATGTGGCCATAATTGGTGCCTGGAGTAGCACTATGCACGGGTAACATTACTCCAGACGGGTTCTCGGGCCAAGACACAGAAAGGGTCTCCAGCCCAGATTTCTTACTTTCTCCTTCCTGAGAACTAAAAGAAAAATGGGAATGTGCTGTACAAATGCAGGCTGTTAATGCAAACTAGGTGGTTTTAAGTTAAAATCTTATTTACCCTTAGGCCAACCACAAAGGAAAAATATTATATGTATACACACATGTATATATGTATATATGTGTGTATATATATATATATATATATATATATATATATACCAAAGCAAGGGAATGGCTTATGCTAGAAAATATCTATTTAACACAAAAGAAGGCTGTAATAAAGTCAGAGAAGAACAAGAAATCCATAAGGCATATATATAAAAAAAAACAACAAATGGAAAAATCAAATCCTACCTTTATCAGTAATTACTTAAATGTAAATGGCATAGAACTCTAATAAAAAAGCAGAGATTCAAAACAATGGATAAAGAAATCTCCTTCTAACTATATGCTCTCTACAAGAGACACACTTTACATTCAAAGATATGAATAGGCTGAAAGTAAAATTTAGATGGAAAAAGCTATATCATGCAAACAGTACTCAAAATAGAGCTGGAGTTGCTATACTAATATCAGACAAAATAGACTTTAAGACGAGGTTGTCTCCCACCCCCTACACTCTCAACTTCAGATGTCAATTGCAAGTCCAGGTTGTTATCAGTGTTTCTGACCAATGGGCTATTGGATCACAGGTTCCCATGACCTCCTATTCAGGTTCTACTAGTTTGCTACAGCAGCTCACAAAACTAAGAAAAACATTTTAATTACTAGGAAAATGCATATCAAAACCACAATGAGATACCACTTCATACTCACTAGAATGATAATCTATAATAATAAAAGCGTAATATGCTAATTAGACTGAACAGCTGAACAACCTTCTGGACGTCCTTCCGGACGACCATGCAGATGAAGCTGGGGCTGCGAGGGCCGAGGCAAGCTGCCACAGCTGCGAGGGCCGAGCCCCTTGCATGAATTTCGTGCATCAGGCCTCTAGTAATAATAATACTACATAAAACAGATAATAGGAAGTGCTGGGAGGATGTGGACCCTCATATACGGGTGGGAATGTAAAAGGTGCAGCCACTTTGAAAATAGTATGAATAGAATGTATAGCATGAGGGAATAAACAGACTAAAGAACTGGCTGGTGTGGCTCAGTGGTTGAGTATTGACCTATGAACCAGGAAGTCATTGTTCCATTCCCAGTCAGGGCACATGCCCAGGTTGCAGGCTCGATATCCAGTGGAGGTCATGCAGGAGGCAGCTGATCAATGATTTTCTCTCATCGTTGATGTTTCTATCTCTCTGACTCTCTAAAATCAATAAAATATCTCTCTATATAAAATCCTAATGTGCTAAGTGTCTGACTGATCAGTCGACTGCTCAACCAGTCACTATGACATGCATTAACCACCAGGGGTAGACGCTCCGACCGGTAGGTTAGCTTGCTGCTGGGGTCTGGCCGATTGGGTTTGGGTGAGACGGGCTGGACACGCACTGGAGCCAACCCCCCATGGCCCCTCCCCAGCCTCTAAAATGTTTCTTCTAATTAATTTCCTTTCAATGTGCACAAATTCATGCACCGGGCCTCTAGTGTATATATTCTGACTTATTCTGACAAAGCTTCAAAAAGCTAAACACAGAGCTACCATATAACTCAGCCATTTTGCTCCTAGGTACATACCTATGGGAAATGAAAACATGCCCACACAAAGCTCACACATGAATGTTGATAGCAGTGTTAGTCATAATCGCCAAGAGGTGGAAACAGTGCAAATGTCCATTAACTGATATATGGATAAATAAAACATGGCATATCTGTGTAGTGGATTATTATTTGGTCATAAAAAGAACGAAGGACTGATACATACTACAATGGGAATGAAACTTGGAAACATTATAAGTGAAAAAATACACAACAGGCCACATACTGAATGGTTCTATTTATATGAAATGGCCAGTAAATTCATAAAAACAGAGTAGAGAGTGGTTTCCAGAGGGGAAGGTACCTGGAATGGGCAGTGACTGCAATAGCGATGGGCTCTTTCCATGCTGAGGAATTTAGTGGTGATGGTTGCAAAATTTTGTGAAATACTCAGAACCACTGAATTGTACACTTTAGAAGGGCAAATTTCTAATTATGTCCCGAGAAAGCTATTATTTCAAGAAATGCTAGTTTTTTTTTTCTTTTATAATAAATACTATCTCCTTTCAACCCAGGCTCCAGCCTTACTGCCAAAAATCTACACACAGTTCCCAGGAGTCTAGACGTTTGCCTCCAAAGAGCCTCACCCCCCCAATCTAATTTGGACGGGATGGAGGTGCCAGGAGAGGTGGACATAGCCCTGGAAAGGGGGCAGAAGCTGGAGTTTAGATGGTGATTCTGCCTTTCCTGGCTCATTGACCTTGTGCAAGTCACCTTGCTTCTCTGAAACTCAGGCTCCTATTCTGAGATTACAAATAACCTGGCCCTATACATCCCCCAGGGTTGAAAGGGTCAGCAGATGCCCTGTAAATGGGAATGTTTACTAAACTGTGAGCAGTACACAAAGATCAGTCTTTGGGATTGGGATCTCCTTGGCTTAATGTCAGGGTGTACGGATTGTGAGGGGAGCTATCACCACCCCAAGCGACTCCAGTCACAAAGCCCTGAGGAAGAACTGCTGATCTTCATCTTATAGTTGTCGCCTTCAGCTGTCTGGGAACAATGGTGATGGTATCCAGTGCCCCAAATATTACTGTTATTTTATGTTTTGTTGTTGTTGTTGACCTCCTCCCAGCCCCTTTCCCTTCTGGTAATCACCATGCTGTTGTCTGTGTCTATGAGTTATTTATTTATTAATATATTTTTATTGATTTCAGAGAGGAAGGAAGAGGGAGAGAGAG